GAGAATCACTGAAGTCATTGGGACTCATCCTCAGGAGACATAATTGTCTGTACAAAATGTCGTGGCAATAAATCCAATAAATGTTGAGATATTCATTAACAGGATGTCATTGGGTCATGCCGTTGATAGGGTGATAGTAGTATAACAATAAATATTTCACTATTTAATAAGATTATCATGCACACTAATTCTGACTTTTCATTGTTTTTAACAGAAAGAAAGAAAACATGCCTGCTCACGTTTCTTATCCCAGAAACCAAACAGAACAATGTGAGTGGAGGCAGTCACGAGACATATTGAGGAAATGGATCTCATTTCCTCCGATTTCTATCTCACATTCTTGGGATGGAAACCAACATTGTTGAAGATAATTACATTAGTGGATGGGGGTATTCACAACAAAAGTCTAGACAAAGAAACAAATAACATGAGCACAACAAGCCAACTGGAAAACAGGTCATAAAAGTAAAGTTGCAGCTTCAAATGTGCCAGCCTGTCTGTGAAAGAGTGTCAGGTTTCCAGTTCCAGTTTCCAGAATGTAAAGTAAATGACGCCAGAAACTCTCATATGAACAAGATGCAAATCATGTAAATGGTTTGAGTCCAACCAGGGGAGCGATTTAAAAGGACACCATTAGTTTGCTTATGACTAATTTAACTTACCTATTATTTACCTTTAAGGCCCTGAAACCCCATTCATTTTACAAACCTCTTGCTGGAAGTGGTACTGGCTATTCTACATAAAGGGTTTCTGTACTTCTTTACATTACTCAGATCTCTTGTTTGATGTGAATTGTGCTATGTTGGATAAAGTTATTTCCATGCACCAGTCAGAATGAAACAATGTAATAATCATAATCAGAAAGTGATGACAGTCACATTGTTTGCTGTTTGAGGCACAAGGGAGACACAACAAACCGGATCAAACCGCATGCACACAGTCCTGATGATGACACAAGTTAGCTTTCTGAGTGTTAAACTTTAAATAATTAAGTTAATTAGTAAAGTAATTAACTTTAACTTAGAATATATTAAGTTTGAAGTTTCCCACATATTAAACAACAAACATACCTACCTACATAGTACTTATTTAGCATCGTTGGATCATCACAATCATTGAAAATCTTGAGAATCATTGAAAATACAGACACCTTTATTATATAATCTTAAAAAAACGAGTTTATTTATTCCTTTACATCTCACACAAAATGTCTTTAAAAAACAGATGTGAAGAATGAGTGAGTTTTTAATGGATTCACTTGTTGCCCTGGTAAACACACAAATTAACAAATACATCAAACACTTCTCAATTATTTTTTAAATTATTCACAATATCATGAATTCAACTATGTAATTATAGCTTATTTAAATTATATCTCCATAAGAAAAGGGGATGTGTAATCCACTTCTATTTCTTTTAAACGTAATGTGTAATTTGTGTGTATTTGTTAACTGTGAACTCTTCATCAATCCTCTAAACACCCACCTCGGTCCCCTGCTCTGGGCGATATTCTTACAGCGGTTCACTACTTAGTTGCCCCTAAACAGACCACAGTGTCGCAGAAACACAAGAATATGAGCGCTGAAAAGAAACTGTGCCGATAAAGACACAGTCTGCATGGTTGCGGGGTGCAGATGACCCCGCTGCGGCAGCCTCGGGGCAAACAGCGAGAGGAGAAAAAAAGCTGCTTTGACGTCAGCCACGTTAGATTTCAGTAGTCCAAGATGGCGGAGGTGAGCGGGTTGAGGAGCAGAAATCACTTCGAGCCCAACTGCAAAAACCGAGTGGTTGACGAAGGTAACCCGCTGTTGGTTTTGTTTCATAGATTAGTGACAGTGAGCCGAGGGCGACGTTGAAGACGGGGGCTGAAATGTAAAGTGTTTTTGTCTCTTCTTCCTGTCGTCTTTGTCTTTTGTGAGTGGCCAACTCTCGCTTTCCCCGTTAGCCAGACGCTTCTTGTTTGAGTTGGTGTCCTGACAGATCAACGCTGTCCTCACTGCCTGGACATTAGCTGCAGGGTGATACTTTTGTTTTTTTTAATCCGTTTTTCTCTCGGTAAAGGCATGCTTTCACTCTGTAAGTGTTTGGTGGGGGAGGAAAAAAAAAAAAAAAGCTGTTGTTTTGTTTGAAACTGATTCTGACCCGGATATAATATTCAGCTGCAACCTGTCGGCTCATTTATCCGAGCCGTCACTTTCACCTGGCCCCGCGGCCGACCGGCGGCTCGGCGGTGGGTTTTTATCGTCGGTGGGTTTTTTATCGTCGGTAAAGTAAAGCTGCCTGTAGTTGCACAGTCACTCCGTGTCGGCTTCAGCTGACACCGTGTCTGAACTTTGAAACAGTCCGCGTTACTTCAGTTTCCTGTAACGAGGTTTCAGCCTGACCACACCAACACATACGTTAATCTCCTCATCCCACTAATGACTCGGATATTTTTAAATACCCTATTATTAGTCTGTTTGTGAGCAGACTTAAGACCAGGCTAATTTTGTCCTCTGAATACGACTAGGCGCATTCCTGTATGTATGTGCATGTTATAGCTAGAAAGTATTTTGTGTATGAACAGGAGACAGTAGACACTTACTGACCTAAAAACACAAAACAAGTGAACCATAGTCGGATATATGGAGCTCCCTCACTCTGCAGACTCATTGTGGTCTCTACTGAATGTCCCATGATGAATATACGTTACTTACAAATGTGTATATAATTAATTTCTGTATTCCAAAGCTTTTCACAGTAAATATAAGTATTGCTTTAGTTGGGTTGGGTGTTTAAGGTTGTTTAATATCAGGATAAAATAGCCTACGTATTGGTATATTAACAAGGATGCTTCTCCCCATCTGTGACAACATTGCCCTCTTTGAATTGGTTGTTTATAGAGCTGAAACGATCAATCGCGTATTTGATCGACTGGAAATTGGCAACACCTGCAAACATTTTGATAAACAATCATTACAGTCGTTCATTAAAGCAGAAATTGCAAATATTTTCGGGTTCAAGACTCTCAAATGTGAATATTTAGCTTTTATTTGCTGCTTTTATGCACCAAGCAATTAACTGATTATTTAAAAGAAGGCTAACAATAGAAATCAGGAGCATCACACCCTGATAACCCTTGTGTCTACTTTGATACACGCCGGCTGACTCTGTGGCAACAACATTCACTAACTGCGGCTGCTCTTAATCTGCACTTTGTCCTCGCAGACTCTGTATTGGTCTGCTTGCTGCAATTGAACATTTGCCCTCCTTGACTCTTGTCCAGGGAGGCCAGTCAGGTTGTCATTTGGCTCTGCTGTGCTGGGAAGTCAGTGTACCTGCATCTTAATGGGCTACAGTGAGTTCCTCCTCCTTGTTTTCGTTAACTCCGCATTGCCTCCGCAGTCTCGTTGACACTCGTGTTGCCAGGCTGGAAGAGAGCGTTGGGCCATTATTCTCTCTTTAAATGAAAATGGGGGGAAAAACGTCCTAAACGGCAAATATTTGACGTAATCTTGTCACTAACAGGAGTCTGAAACCTCCCATATTTAGACAGCTGGTGAAAAGAAGTGGACCGCAGCCTTATCAAAGTGTGCCTCAGATATAGTGCAGGAGTCCAGGGAAGGAGAGCTGATTTGGGACGAGGTCTATTCTATTCTCGCCATGCATAGTTAAAGATAGAGCCCCATCAGAGGGATGGAGGGATGCAACATACATACATAGTTACCAAGAGATGAGGAGTTTGTGTGTGTGTTGTGTGGTGTTGTGTGTGGTGTGTGTGGCAAAAAACAAGTAGGCCAGTTAACATCTGCTCTGGCTCCATAAGATAAGAAGAATGCCGCTAAATTTAGTTCTGCTCGTTTTTTTTTTTTTTTTCCTTCTCCACGCTGAGGAGGACGAGCACTTTATCTTGAAGTGTCGCAGTGAATATCAGCATTGCTAAAGGTTTCTCCCTGGCTGTTGTGCTTCCTCGCATGCTTCTTGTGTTTTGTCTTTCGAACAGATTGGCAGTCCCAGCAGAATGGTGTCTTTGTGTGAGTCCGCTGTGTGGCTGCGGCCTGTGCCACTTCATCCTGCTGAGTGCTGCTCTGGATTTGAAGGGAACCTGCACGGCCACAGACTGGGGAAATGTGCAGGGCTCATTTGTGTGCTGAGCAGATTACTGTAACTGCCTCGTGCTCGCAGCAGTTCTCTAACACTAGCACAGCATTGCTGCTGCCCTTTGGGGATTTGCAGCACCTCTAGGTTGATCTTTGATTGCCCCATTTACAGTTGTCCTCTGGAGCAAGAATATCACTGATTTCAAATGGTCTTTTGACAGAGTTGAGATGCTGCCAGTGCTGGGTCAGGGAGTCAGACAAGCCTGTACATGAAACCAACAGCATAATAACTACAAGCCACTGACTGTATCTTGAACATTGCCTAAATGTAGTTTTACAGTTGCGGCGGACAATAGTAAGTTATTATTAATCCATATTGTTTCTTCACCACCAATCACTGCTTCCTTGTCTTAGACCAGCGCGCTGTTGATCTTGCAGCTAGAGAACCTTTTCAATAAAAATGCTAACTTGACATTCATTATATACCAGTGTACATGTGAAAAGGTGTGACTTTGTGATGTGAAATCTAATCTGTGTGTACCTGAGGTCATGAATGGAGGAAAGGTTTGTGAACTTGTTTGTAGAGTAGAAGCTGCTCTGTCTGTATGAGCGTCCATCGGTCACGGCGCAATAGTGTTTCTGAGGGATGTTCTTGTGTTTCGGTTAAATTGGAAGTCTAAAACCAGTAGATTCAAAAGTACTTTAAAAACAACAGAACAAAACTCTTGACTTTATGTAGCTACGTCTTTAGATAACTCAGAATATTAGAGCTGAAACAATTGGTTGATTTCATTGTTTAGGCGACCGACAGAAAAAGAAAAGAGAAAAAGATTCACATGTTCCAGCTTCTTAATGTGAGGATGTGCTACTGTTGTTTGTCTTATGTGATGGTAAATGTAATATCTTTGTGGCTGTTAGTCGGACAAAACAAGACATTTTGCACCTCTGAAAGGTTGTCATGAAAGCTGGTGTTCGCTGATGGATGTGCCATCAGAATTGGTTTTTACTTGCGGTAGATGACACAGAAGAGTTTACTCTGTGCTGTATTAGTGTTACTGCTGTATCAGGCGGTGTATCCGAGGTGTGTCTGTGAGGCAGCAGCAGGGGCAATCTGTCCCATCAGTTGGCCGAAACCTACATTTGTTTGTGGTGAGAGACAACTTAGTTGAAATATTTGAATGAGCAATGCTTGATACTTGCTGTTCTACCTGTTCAGTGGACTCAGTGGCGTCAGCTATATGGACACTTCAGTATGAACTTCAGGGAGTGTCATCTTAACCCTGCTCCAGTGATTTTTAGATCTGTAAAGAAAAGCCAGCAGTGACGGTAAACAGGATAACGGGAAGGTTAAACGGCCTTCTTTAACCTTCATTTGTGTGAATAATACTTCACTGAGGTCAAGGTAGAAAACTGCTTTACATATGAAAGGTAAACACTTATTTTTTAACATTTGAATTGCAGTTTAGTTGCATAAAATAATTAGAACTGTAGTGATCAGCTGATTAATTGCTTAGTCAATAATAATAAATTGAGTACAGGTGTTGGACTGTCGGTTAGACAAAACAAGACATTTGAAGAAACTAGAAGTACTGAAAAATAAAAAGAATCGTTAGTTAAAGTTAAAAATAACAAGGCGACAATAATAACAATAGACGAGCTACTCATCTGCTTTCTGCACAGTTTGTGGTGCAGCACACATGCTCATCCTGGCACTGTTACAGGACAGAAGGACTCTTTCATTTTAGAGGAAATATGTGCTTTAGATTTAAAGGAAATACCTTCACACAAACATGAAAATGACAGAGAGGAAAAATGTGAAAACGCTGTCCTCGTCACTTTCTTTCCTTGTGTCCCTTTTGCTTCCCCTTTGTGATTTTCAGTGCAGGGGTATTTTCAAGTTTGACCTAGATGTGTGGAGCAGAGTGGGTGACAGTATTGAGACCAGCACGATATGCTGAAAAGGGTCCTATCTGTTTGACTGCATATAGGGCATTTGACTTTCTCTTTAACTTCTTGGAACAATACTCTCTCTCACACGTAAACACACTTCTGACAATGAAACCTATTCCTCAGAAAAATGTTTTTTGCTTTTGCTACGTAACCCTGCCTCCACATTCTTCTCTCTCTTCTCACTTTCTGTCCATTGTCTGTACACCAGCATGCAGCAGCCAGAGTGTCATTTTATATGTCTCTCATCACTTTGTCCTGTTATCTAAAGGCTTAAGTGGCGTGGAAGATGTCCCCATTTATCGGCATAAGAAGAGGCCCCCTTTAGCCACCACTGAAGACCTGGAGGATGAACTGCTTCCCAGGACCACAGCCTCAAACAAAAATGTTAACCTCAACCCCTCACCAGATGAAGAGATTCAGGAAGAAGAGGTGAAGCATTATTACATTTACTACCATATTCCTGTCTTTTGATAAGCATGTATATCATATCTAACTTTATTCTAATCACCACTCTCAACTTTATCTAGATTTCTTTTTTTTTCATAATTCCCAAACGTTTGAAAACCGAAAGGTATTAATTTTACTATAATGAAAGACAGAAAAAAAGAGCAAATCTTCACTTTGAAGAAGTGCCATCAAATGGCATTTTTTAGTAGTAGGCTCTCTTTTGATTGACTAATCATTTCAGCCTTAATGGCAGTGTTGATCACACCCTGAAGACAGAATGGACAAATGAATGCATGAACTGTGTATGAACAAGAACTGCTGAGGTAAAAATTACATTTATGCTGTAAATGTGCCAAAGGAGGTAGAAAATAGCTACGTTATAGTGGTAACTGCTTAAATACTCCTTCTACCTCCAACAGAGAAGAAGAGAGAGTTCTTGTGTTTCTCACAAGACGTTCATATTCTTGAGTACTAGCTGTGTCTTTGATTTACAACAGGATCTCATTTTCAGTTCCCTCTCCCCTCCGTGAAACCCGCCTCCTCACCACCAGTGTAATCACTTAAACCTCTGTCGATGCCAGGGAAAGCCCTGATTGATTGCAAACTCATGTGTTCAGGCTGAAGTAGAGGAAGAAAAGGCCAGGCCTATCCAGATTGTGCTGGCCAACGAGGATGAGCACAGCTTTGAGCTGGACGCTGCGGCGCTGGAGAAGATCCTGCTGCAGGATCACGTGAAGGACCTGAATGTGGTGGTTGTGTCTGTGGCCGGGGCCTTTCGCAAGGGCAAGTCCTTCCTGCTGGACTTCATGCTACGCTACATGCACAGTCAGGTGACATAAATAATGTGTGACTTTCATATTGTTTCTGGACATACAGGGGTACATCTGGGGTAGAGAAAAGGGACCGTTTATTTAGTCAAGTACTGAACACATGATGTTTAGTGTTTCTTAAATGACGCTGCATATTGACTAGAAAGTTTATAATCCAGACAAAATCCGTCAGACTTTAACGCACTCTTTTTTTTTTTCTCAATGTTCACTTAAAGGATAACAGTAGTGAGGTTTTTGGATGTTTTATTGAAGAAGTTGCACCGTTGGTATTTATTGTGTAAAATTAGGTTACATGATATTGATAATTTACCAATACAGCTCATAATTAAATGGTCATTTTACAGAGATAAAGCAGAGATTTTTCTCTTTGACTGCCACACAACTATATGTATAGTGTGTAAGGCTGCAACTCAGTTATTGTCTCTATGAATAGTTCGGCCTATAAAAGACAGTTTTTACATTTGTTCCATAGCTGGTGAATTCTTGAAAGTGTTCTTGCCACAGTGTTGTTTTTATTAATATCAAATAGGAATAAGAAAAGTTTTTACAAAGGCAAAGACCTTTAGATGTTAACTTTATTGATTTAAATTTGCCTGTGAGGGTCTTATTTACATATGAATAGCCTGTCATGACTGAAAATGCAGCCTGATGCAGTTGTTCTTAATTGAACCATCTGTTAGTCAAATTGGTGACCTGACCTTGTTTACTTCTAAAATGAAGTTCTTGCACTGGTGCACAGCGTCAGTGAGACAGGCCCTTGCTGAAGGTATGTTTACATGAGCTGAGTAAACATTAAACGTCTCATCTTCCTTTTCGGCTTTTATTATTGTCTCACATTCGCAGTCGGTAGAGATTATAAAAGCAGGTGGACTAGATGAGCTCGTACATCAGATGAGATTACAACCAGTAGTGGCATGTATACCAGAATGTGACAAGCAAAGACAAGTGCTTCCAGTTTGGTGTCATACTGAGATACTTACTCAACCAGGTGACGTGCAGCAAGGTGTATGAATAAGACAGGGTGGTGTAACTGCTCTCAGACTTCTAGGTAGGTGAATTTTAAAGAGCTGCCGAACTCAATTAGATATAAATAAGATGGATTTTTAATATAATGATACATCATGTATGTCAAGATTTTCAGTCTAATACACCTAATTTCCCTGTGTGGTTACTGTGGTTACTGAAATAATGTCCGTAAATATGAATAACACAAAGTGCCACATTACATACACACACGCCCATTCTTGAGCATGTCCACCCAACAACTGTGTGACTTTCACTGACACAAGTGTCAACAACTAGTCCTTCAGACCTTCTGGCAGCAGCTGGACAGACAGGATCACCTTACACTCACACATACTCTTAAGACACACACACACACACACACACACACACACACACACACACAAGACAAAACAGTGTTGGGACCCTTTCTCACAGCTGTTGAGGCAAGCCATGCAAACATGGCCATTCATTTCAGTCCTGACCAAGATTCTGCACGTTGTTCACATTTTTCATCAACACTGATTGCTTTTTGTTTACGCCTGTTCTTTACATTTAGTTACGATATAGCAGTTAATTGTTAGCAAAGAGATTGCAGTATATAATACAATTTTGGTTTGATTTGTTATTATCAATTAACAAATTACCATTTTGCTTTGTCATAAGATCCTGGTGGCCCACATTCACACAGATGTATTTGGGCACCCCAGGAATCAGTGTTCACAGCATACTTTGCCTTGCATCAGGTATTTGCTTGTGAGGCTTGTTTATAGCATTTCCCTGTTTGTTGGTGCAGCGGGTCTCCTCCCCCCTTTGTCAGCCCGGAAATACAAACAGGTACAGAAGCATGCGGTGGTGGTACGGCTGCGACGCGAACACTACCCGCTTTTTGTAGCTCTACATTTGTTTTTCCACTGCAAGGCTAGAACCCCCTCAATCTGTAGCAACTGGAAACCACACTGGAGCTTTACTTTGGTCTTGAGAAGCTGCAGCCACTGACAAACTATAAGCTACACGGTACATTTATGTTATATAAGGCCAGTCAAAGTGTGGCCTGATGGTGGTGAATGTGCAGATCAAATTTCACACCAATTTCCCAGATTAGGGTTTTTTAAAATACAGTATAATGCTACAATACTTTATTTCACCACAAATACCTAATAATTTTTTTTTTTACCCAATCTTCATCTCTTCTCCTGTTTCTCTTTCCTCTCATCTTACCCACTCCCGTCTCCTCCCTTCCTGCCACAGGGTGAGTCGTGGATGGGAGGTGATGATGAGCCCCTGACAGGGTTCACCTGGAGAGGAGGCTGCGAGAGAGAGACCACGGGAATTCAGATCTGGAGCGAAGTGTTTGTGGTCGACAAGCCCGATGGCAGCAAGGTAGACAGTTACAAATAATACCATAAGACCTCATGAGCTCCAAATGTTCTCATACATGTTTGGGTACAATTTATTGGGGAGAACCTGGTATATATCAGGTTAGTATTCTTATTGAGATGTTTACATGTATAAGAATTTAAAGCCAACACAATAATCACCCTTCTTGGCCTACAGGCTGAAGTGAAAGTTGAAGCATATAACATTTATTGCCTCTCGTCCCAACAGGTTGCTGTGCTCCTCGTTGACACTCAGGGAGCATTTGACAGCCAGTCCACCATAAAGGACTGTGCTACTGTGTTCGCCCTCAGCACAATGACCAGCTCTGTACAGGTGAGACTTACACACTGATGCTTTTTTTTTCTCTCGAAATGTCAACATTTATAGCTCACGTTGTTTTGTTTTTTTTCTTTTTCTCAGGTGTACAATCTCTCCCAGAACATACAGGAGGACGACCTGCAGCATCTGCAGGTTGGTGTCATTTCTCCTCCTTGCAGGAAAAAAGCAGAACCAAAGTCTGCTGCAGTTATTTCTGTTTTCTGATCATTAGTCTTTCTCCCATACGTAGCTCTTCACAGAATATGGCCGACTGGCAATGGAAGAGATCTACCTGAAGCCTTTCCAGGTACTATCTGCTTCTGTTGACTGTGTTTAAAACATTTTATATACTGTAGTCCCGATTAATGAATGTCATAAAATCTGCCTATTCAATTAAATATGTGGCTGCACAGCAAGTCTTGTATTTTTAATGAGTAATATTTGGGGATTATTAAAATACCAGTAGAATTGAGAAATGTCATTTCAGTAAGAATGTAATTGAAAACAGGAAAGGTATGGACAATCAGTGATCAGAATACAACATGTCTCATTGTGTCTCTGTGATGTTGGTGGTGTGTTTCAGTCCCTGATGTTCCTGATTCGAGATTGGTGCTATCCTTATGAACACGACTACGGATTGAAAGGGGGCAACAACTTCCTTGAGAGAAGACTACAGGTGAGACTCTTTTTATTCTCTACCCTGATATTTCTGCACATCGTTGAAGATACTTCAGGTCACACACTCACTGTTCTGTCAGGCACTCCACATATTTTTGACAAGCACAGACATACCTAAAGTCATCTGTTCAGTTCGCTCAGCATGTCACATTAAAATTCAAGTATATTGGTGTTTGCTGACACAGGTGAAACAGAACCAACATGAAGAGTTGCAGAATGTGAGGAAGCACATCCACTCCTGCTTCTCCAACATTGGCTGCTTCCTGCTGCCACATCCAGGCCTCAAGGTGGCCACCAACCCGTACTTTGACGGCAGGCTGAGAGGTAATCAAACAGGAAGACACACATGTACTGATAATGAAGAGTGATATCCAAAGCATGCTGGACTGCGATGTTCATGCTCCCGAGGACAACCAAGATGTGGGTTTGTGTGTTTCAGACATCGATGGGGATTTTAAAAAGGCGCTGGCCGAGCTGGTTCCTCTCCTCCTGGCCCCCGATCGACTGGTAGAGAAGGAGATCGGAGGCAACAAAGTCACCTGCAGAGATCTCCTGGAGTACTTCAAGGTCTCAGGATTTTATTAAAGTCTAGTGATTTTCACACTAATTTCTCACAGGTCGATTAACACACAGCCTTAAATTATTCACTCTAACATAGAACTAGTCATTTGAAAAATAAAGTTTTAGGATGAATAAAGGTTGAAAATAAGTCTTAAAGTACTTGCCAGCTTCTTTACTTCCTGTGTTGTCTGCATATTGAATATTAACATTGTACAGGTGGTGTGATAATCTGTATTATTTTTCATTCTTGCAGGCTTACATAAAGATCTACCAAGGTGAGGAACTGCCTCACCCAAAGTCCATGCTGCAGGTCAGTTACAGTCTCAAAACTGAGGGATCTTATTAAGTATGGCTCACACGTTTTAGGTTTTAATTCTCATTTTCTGTGGTCATTAAAGCTATCTTGACTCTCTCTCTCTCTCGCTCTCTCTCTCTCTTTTCCTGTTTGTCAGGCGACAGCAGAAGCCAACAACCTGACTGCTGTGGCAGGAGCCAAAGACATGTACAGCAAGAACATGGAGCTGGTAAGGATGTGTTTTTCTTTCCCAATCATCATGAGTCACAATCAATTCAATATTAATGTTGCCAAAGATGTCAAGATGATGGTGTAGTCATGGTCTGGCAAACTGGGAGTTGGAACTGGAGTTGCATGCTAATGCAAAGTCAGAAACTATCTTTGTTTTTCCTTAAACCTCTTCTGTCAGTCACACTTTGTTCCTCTTTCATTCAAACTCACCTGTCCTTCCCTTTTCAGGTGTGTGGCGGGGACAAGCCATACATCGCCCCGACTGACCTGGAGCGCTGCCACGAGGAGTTTCGCGAGCACTCAGTGCGTTTCTTCCGGTCTGTGAAGAAAATGGGCGGCGATGAGTTCTGCCAGCGCTACCAGAACCAGCTGGAGTCGGAGCTGGACGAGGCCTACAACAACTTCTCAAAGCACAACGACGGCAAAAACATCTTCTACACAGCGCGCACACCCGCCACGCTTTTTGCAGTCATGTTTGTCACCTACGTGGTGTCTGGGGTGACGGGCTTCATTGGTCTGAGCACCTTAGCAGTGCTGGCTAACTTGGTCATGGGCGTGGCGCTGCTATCGCTGTGCGCCTGGGCGTATGTGAAGTATTCTGGAGAGTTTCGGGAGGTGGGAACGATGATAGACCTGGTGGCAGAGACACTCTGGGAACAGGTGGGTAGTCGACATGAGAGGAGGGGTGTGTCTGTGTGTCTGTGTGTGTGTGTCTGTGTCCAGACTAATCTTGAAGGTTTTTTGAACAATTAATTATTAACAATTAAATTTGTAAGGAGTGTTGTTATGGAATTTAAGCTTGAACTGATGCACTGTAGGCTGAATGTTTTTCATTAGAAAAGGTCTGGGTGGTCTGTTGGGTATTAAAGCAGTTTATCAAAGGTAGTTCAGGATCAGCGTATACAGTATGTCGGACGATACGTAATAAGAAATTGAAATACAGATCAGCCAAATATGTTTGAGGGAGTATAGAAACAATGTCTTCTTTACATTAGGGCTGAAACTAATGATTCTATTTTTTATTAAAGATGAATCTGTTTATTTCTTAAGATTAAAGTTTCATTTACTGTAATAAATATATGTATAACTGAGAAAAGCTACAAATCTGTATATTTTAGAGCCAAATGTTGATGAAGAAGTTAATCAGTTACAAACATTAACTAATTTCTCTATCTATAGTTTTAGCCCTAGATTGCATAGTTTGTCCACCAGAGAGCACTGACGGGCTATTTTTGAACTGTAAAATGTTCCACTCAATGCTTCCTGGTCACAACTGGTGAAGTGAATAAGTGAATATCGGCCAATATATTGTTCTTGGATTTTATAACTCTTAAAGATTGATATGTCTGCCACAGAAACCCAGTATTGGCTTTTATTAGGTTTAGACCAGATTAGGCATTTAGAATTAGGTTATTTCTAATAGAAGAAAATATCATAGTCAGTTTGACACATATTTCTTTTGCATACTACTGTGTGATGTTGGGTAGGGATTAAACCATATGTCACTGCAGACATAAAACATGATCTGACCTGAGAGGCAGTTGGTAGGTAGTCAAAGCTTAGGGCAAGGGTTAAAAGAGGTTTATAAGTGAGTAAATGTTTTTTTATTGAATGTTTTCCCCCAGGAATATAACACTACATAATGTGTGTGTGTGTGTGTGTTGATGCTGTTGGTTTCTACTGTCGTTAGTCTTCCCTGAAGTCCAGAGAGAGAAATCCTTCAGTTTTGGTTTCCTTTTTGTCCACTCCATGTTTATTATTGTGTTGTGTCTCGTCTTCGCATCCCATCATTCATTTCACAAACTCTGAAGAACCATTGTTTCACTCCACCTTTCAGCGCTCCCTCCACACAATCAGTTCTCCGTCTGCAGACTGTACTCAGGTGTACAAATATCAAGCCACACTGTTTGTGTTTCTTATCTATTTTGAGTTTCATGAATGTTTGGGGTTCACCACAAACGCAGCCCTCGTGTCTCCTCTGACTGCTCCCTCCTTCCTCTGCTTTTGTCTCTCTTCCTCCTCTTTCCTCGCCTGCTTCACAGAAGACGGTCAGAAAGGTGAGAAGTGTCGCGTCCCATTTCTCTGATCTTCTGCCTGCCGGTCACAACTTCCTGCCTCATTTCCTTTCACCTTCTCCTCCCCCTCCTTCTAACAGTCTCCGCATATTGTTTTTATTTTAGTGGTTCAACATCTACACTGTCTCCCATCTCTCCTTTCAACCTTCATTCGTCCTTAATCTCCCCTCAAACTTCTGGATCCCTCTGTCTCATGTTTTTCCTGCTCCTGTGTCGGTCTGCCTGTCAGTCTTGTTCCCTGTTTAACTCTCCCGTCCCTCCCTGCTGTCCTCTCAGGTGTTTTCCAAACTTTTGGAGCCTGTCAGGAGTCGCCTGGCTTGGCCCGTCTCTCTCCTCCCTTCATTCCCATCTGGAGCGACACTGGGACTCGGAGCTCTGTCTCCTCTCAACAACAACTACAAGAAGACTAAATAGCTGCTGGACGGCCGGCGGATTCAGACTGTTAAACTTCCTTCTCGTATTGAAACTTCTGCAGTTTGCTGGCTTCTTTTATTGTTCATTTTCAGTCCAATGGTGCTGGATTCTTATACTTTAACTCCTGGGACCCATTCTGTGTGGACACCCTCTGAACTTTACTGAATGTATCTGAACACCGGCAGGCCAGGCCCATCTCAGGATCTCAAGGACTTGAAGCCTGCTCAAACGGTTTTTAATAATTATTGTTGTTTTTTTTATTATTTGAAGGGGTTTTGGTCAATTGTGTTTTGTTTCTGTGGTCGGCAT